ATTTACTGAAGCTGACAAGTATACTGTGGTAGCATAAGCGATATCCTCTTTCAGGAAATACACATTAAAGTATTTAGGAGTAAAGGGATATTACAATGCATGTAACTTATCCACAAATGGTTAAAAAAAGTGTGTGTGTGTGTGTGTGTGTGTGTGTGTGTGTGTGTGTGTGTGACAGAGAGAGAGAGAGAGAGAGAGAAGCGGGGGAGAGAGAGAAGAAAGTACAGAATGAGACAGAGGAGGAGAAAAAACAACAAAACAAATGGGATAAAATGTTAACAGTAAATCAATCTGGATAAAGTTACATATAGCTTTTTGTGATATTTTTATTTTGGGGACTTTTCTATATGCGTGAACTTATTTCAAAATAAAAAATATTTTTTAAGTAGGAGAATGGAGATAAATGGGAAAAAAAGATTGTTGTTCATTCTTGAACAGGGGTTGTGGGTAGATGGGAGTTCATTCTACCATTCTCTCTACTCTGTATATCTTTAGGGTGTTTTTTTTTTTGAGGCAGAGTCTCTGTCACTCAGGCTGGAGTGCAGTGGTGTGATCACAGCTCACTGCAGCCTCAACCTCCCAGGCTCGAGCGATCTTCCCACTTCGGACTCCTAAGTAGCTGGGTCTACAGGCGTGCACCACTACGTCCAGCTAATTTTTGTATTTTTTTGTAGAGGTGGTGTCTCACTATGTTGCCTAGGCTGGTCTCAAACTCCTGAGCTCAAGCGATCCACCCACCTCAGCCTCCCAAACCACTGGGATTACGGGCATGAGCCACCGTGCCTGGCATCTACTCTATACATCCCTGAAATTTTCTGTAATAAAATGTTAGAAAAGAAAAATAAAGAATAAATGAAATCAGGTATGTAAAGTAGCTACCACAGTGCCTGGCAAATAGAAGGCATTCAGCAAATCACAGACACCATTACTACAACTGAGTTCACATCTATCTTGAGCATTAGCTTTTGGCATTTAATTGCACACCAGTATTCACTACAGTCCACAGATGTTGGGTGGCGCTCTGCTGGATACTGCAGGGGACACCCATACAAGTCAAGGAGCTTATGCCCTCAGGACTTGGGTGACCACAATAACAAAAGGCAAAAACAGCAAAGGCTCAGGGGTCTGATGAACTGAGCTTAAGATAACAAGCCAACATCATCTCTTTCCTATGTAATCTTACACAAAATAACGTATTAACCAGGAAAATCTCTTCATCCATCATTAAAAAATTAAAACCATCTATTTCAGATAGATGAGCCTATTATGAGAATAAATGAGATGCTCAAAAGTGGCACTGTAAACTCATATTATATAAATGTTAGTTCTCATTTTTTTCTATGTGGAGCCAACATAGGGAGAATGATGCATGTACGTAAGTTCCTACAAAGCAGAGTGATACAGTGGTAAAGCGTTACAGGAAAAGATCTCATGTAGCCAGGAGGGCAAAGGAAGTCTTCCTGGAGAAGGTGGAACTCAAGACAGTCCTTAATGGATGAATAGGCAGAAAATAAAAAGCCAGAGAGAGAAGTAAGGAGGACTCCAAGCTACTGTTCTATCCTAGCAAAGGCATAAAAAAGGAGAACATCTGTATAGCAAAAGAAACTACCATCAGAGTAAACAGGCAACCTACAGAATGGGAGAAAAATTCTGCAATCTACCCATCTGACAAAGGGTTAATATCCAGAATCTACAAAGAACTTAAACAAATTTATAAGAAAAAAATCAAACAACCCCATCAAAAAGTGGGCAAAGGATATGAACAGACACTTCTCAAAAGAAGACATTTATGCAACCAACAGACACATGAAAAAATGCTCATCATAACTGGCCATCAGGGAAATGCAAATCAAAACCACAATGAGATACCATCTCACACCACTTAGAATGGCAATCATTAAAAAGTCAGGAAACAACAGGTGCTGGAGAGGATGTGGAGAAACAGGAACGCTTTTACACTGTTGGTGGGAAGGTACACCAGTTCAACCATTGTGGAAGACAGTGTGGCAATTCCTCAAGGATCTAGAACTAGAAATACCATTTGACCCAGCCATCCCATTACTGGGGATATACCCAAAGGATTATAAATCATGCTACTATAAAGACACATGCACACATATGTTTATTGCAGCACTATTCACAATAGCAAAGACTTGGAACCAACCCAAATGTCCATCAGTGATAGACTGGATTAAGAAAATGTGGCACATACACACCATGGAATACTATGCAGCCATAAAAAAGGATGAGTTCGTGTCCTTTGTAGGGACATGGATGAAGCTGGAAACCATCATTCTGAGCAAACCATTGCAAGGACAGAAAACCAAACACCGCATGTTCTCACACATAGGTGGGAATTGAACAACGAGAACACTTGGATACAGGGTGGCGAACATCACACACCGGGTCTGTCGTGGGGTGGGGGGTAGGGGGAGGGATAGCATTAGAAGAAATACCTGATGTAAATTATGAGTTAACAGGTGCAGCAAACCAACATGGCATGTGTGTACGTATGTAACAAACCTGCACATTGTGCACATGTACCCTAGAACTTAAACTATAATTTAGAAAAAAAAAAAAAAGAAGAAGAAAGAAAAAGGAGAGTATCAGGATGCAACAAAGTAACAGAGTCTTTCACAGAGTCTCAGAAACAAACAAAAGGATAACCAAAAACACATCTGTAAAAGTAAATGAGAAGAAACTGCAGAAGGCCTTGCCTGACTCATAGGAGGGTCCAAGCAAGTGGTTCACTACTCATCCAGCCGCAGTTCCAGTACAAGGATTCTCCTCCTGCCCTGCCAGTGCCAACAAATTTCACTCCGAAATTGTATGCTTTTTTTACAATAAGGCACTCTGTTTCAAAGGAAATAATGTAAGCAACACATACAATGCACACACTGCTATGAAAAGAAATGCTTGCTATATCCAGGAAAACTTCAATCCCAACAAAAATGAATATAATCCAAATGAGTTTATAATTTACACTTGGCTTTGGAATATAATTTTTTTCAGTGAGGAACTTCCAAATCATATCTTCTAAAGCCAATAGTAAAGTAAGAGAATTCTTTAACTACCAACCAAAAGATCATCAGAAGTGATCACACAACTTAACTCAAATGCTGGCAACTTGATTGACTTTCCTGGAACATGGATTAACTTAAAATTACATGACTGTGATCATTTTTACATTTCATTTTGCCCACAGTACATAGCTGTGTTTTTTAGGAGAATGTCCTTTTGTTGTTTTTTTAATAATCCCTTGAGTCACATGTATCATGAAATAATGAATCCATAATTACTCCATCTTGATTTATACTTTTACATGAACAGTTTTATAAAGGTTTGGGAAGAAAGCTGTGTAAAATGTCTTGTGACTATATAGCGTACTAAAAACCATAAATCTATTTTAATGCACTTAACTGAATATTAAATTGTAAAATGATGAGAAAAAAAAGACCATAGAAAGTTATGTAGTAATAATGTCAGAAATCACCATTCCAACCCACCTTCTCATTAAATAGACACGGAAACTGAGAGCTAGGAAAATTAAGGGGCTTCCTTCCTGCTATCTAGTTAGGAAAAAATTTTGGCACCTGGCACACTAATGACACCACATACAATACTGGGTTCCTCCTGAGATGACACATAACTGAAAGAAAAACCAAAACCCGTACACAAATCTATGTTTACTTCTTTAAAAAATGCCAAGTATTACCACTGTGTTGAAGAAAGCATTTACAGGCTTATACTATCTCTGCCACCTCAAAAAAACCTCTAACCATACTGGAATATTGGGAAATATTCAGCTTTTAAATACTTATACCAGTTGAATGATTTTTTAAAAAAAGAAAACAGTAACAGATCAATTAAGCCTTCCCATGGGACACAAAAATCCCTGAAATAATGAGGAAACTGGATAGGAGTAACTCAAAGAACCTATGTAGGTGTGGCACTCTTGGCAGGCTGCTCAGCACCAAAGGCAGAAGTGATCACAAGTGTGACTCAATTCATAATATTAAGAGAAATCAAAGGAAGGCAAATCTAAGAAAGTCTGGTTCACTGATTAATTCTGTCAATTAACAGACCAAGTCTACTGCTTTTTAAAGAGGACTCTGAATCCAAAGAAGCTCCCAACATTGGTTATCTAGTAAGTTATTGCAGTGCAACCTTTTCATATCAAACTGATATCCAGCTGGAGTGTAGAGCATGCCACAGCCATAATGCAGCTGTGAAAATCTGTTCCATTTGACTCTGTCCTGCGTGATTAAGGAGAGGCAATGCTGCAGGTTTAGGAGTAGTAAGAAGCTCCCAGGCAGACCTCACAAGTACCAAAGTGTCGCTCTAGGAAGTTTCATTTATATAACTTCACATGACCCAGGCCCTCCACCAGAACTACTCTCTTACTTCTAGTGTCTGTAGTCCAAAAACTGTGAAGTGAAGCAGAAATGAGGACTTACCGTAAGGTAGGGAAGAGCTTTCTTCACTTAAGAAATTTGCACCCAATCAAACAGAACTCAAGTTTGTGCCATTTCACAGCTTATTACAAAATTCTGCAAAATATTCAGCTGTCACTGAATAAAGCATTTAGTGTACTAGGAAAACTGCACCTAATTAGTCACATAAAATCCTAACCAAAAAATACCCTAAAATAACCTAAAAGAGATTTCCCCTTATAATACAAGTAGTGTTGTAAGTTTACAAATGCTTAATTTTATTTTCATTGTACAGCTATAATTCATGCAATATGTGTATTTATGTGTAAGCATTCTTCCTGAAAAACGATGTTTTGGAGGTAATCTATTCATTATTTGCATACATTTAACATATATCACTGCACAAAACAGAAAGTTTACTATTTTAATTACTTTGTTTTCACATTTAACCAGCTGCACAAATTCAATGTAACTATTAATGGCAGCAGCCAAACAAACAGAATTTCTTATGCCTAAATAGACAAAATTATGTGCACCAAAGAATTGAAAAAATCTGATAAAACTTACTTGCTACTCCTGATGCAAGTCCATAAAGCAGTCCTCCCCCATCCGACTGCTGAGGGAAAACATGGGTTCCTGGAGGAGGTGGCTTTTCTTGTCTGATAAAGTTATATAATAAGGTCTTCACAAGTTTGCTGGTGTATGGAAGACTACACAAAAAGGAAAAAAAATCAAACTCATATTTATGGGAGTCATCTAATTCTGAGTCACAATACAGAAATAATTCTGCCATTAACACTATTAATATAAAAGGGCTATTGGTACAACTCACAGAAATTGAGCACTGTCACGTAACAGTGAAGACCATGGGCTTTGAGAGCAATTCTGAGGCTTAATCCTGGCTTTTCTTCTTACCACATCATAAAATATTGATCAAATTACTTAAATACTTTTTTGTTGCTGTTGCGGGGAGAGACAAGGTCTCACTATGTTGCCCAGGCTGTTCTCAAACTCCTAAACTTAAGCGATCCTCCTGCCTCGGACTCTCAAAGTGCTGAGATTACAGGCATGAGCCACCGTGCCCAGCCCACTTGAACTCTTGAACTTCAGTTACTTTTTCTGTATTCTGTCTAACACTGTAAGCTACTACAAATTTAGTGCGTAACACATTATCTGGCAGTTGAAGGGAAGTAGTAACACGGAATCGGTAGAAAAAAGCAAGAATTTAAAAATAACAATAGGACTACATTTTTTAAGTATGAAATTATTCAATTATTCAATTGGTATTAAACTAATTTCTGCAATCTAGAGTAAGCTTTTTAACAGATGTCTTTAATGTACTATTGAGCTTTTTAAATATGGTTTCCAAGATGAGCCACAAAAATAAGTAAAGAATATATTATGGTTTAAATATTTGGCACCATAATGATACTATAAAAACCTTACTTAGAAAATAAGAACACTAACACTCTCTATGTCTATTTTTAAACAGCAACTTGAATACTCTCGCACTATAAGGAATGAAGTTCACAGTCTTGTTTTAGCAAAGATGCACACAGTCCCACGATGCCAGCACTACTTCAAATCACGGTCATTCTGAGAGTCTCTGTCAGAGAGGCTTCCGATGCAAACCTCTGTCTCCAAAGTCCAGGTCCTCTCCCTCTTATCAGTGATTTTCAAATATGTTCAAAGAACATACATGCCACAGGAATAATCAGGGTGGCAAAAAGAACATGAAGAAGACAAAGCTCCCACTACCTGAGAACTTTCCTCAAAGGTACTTTATTTGGATTTGTTTTACATTTTTAAAGTTTTATGAAGATTATGTTAATACAAGATCAGGTATGTGCATGTGTGTTGGTCATTTGCATCCCCACCCTCTAGGAGATCGTAAGCTTCTGCTCAAGATTATAGCCCCACAGCCTAACATGCCTGGCATGTGGTTAGCACACAGTAAATATCTGCAGGCTCAATGAAGTAGAAATAGTCAGTGAAGAGGCTGTTGGAGAAACCCAAAGAGAGTGAGGGGGCACAGATCACAGTTGTTTCACAGAGACTGCTGAGAAGAAAAAGATACAAAAATAATCTGAATAACAAATATGACTTGACTGCTTAAACATAGAAAGAATGAAGGAGAAGGAAGAAAAAGATTATTTCAAAGTTTCAATTCTACGAAGCAACCACTGGAGAAGGTAATGAAGCTAGGGGACAGGAAGAACAGGGAGGATGGGTAGATGGCACAGGAAAGCAGAATGCAGTTCCCTGTACACTGGGTTTAAAGAGATAACAGAACAACTAGAGGAAACACCTGGTTGGAGATACGGGACGATACTCAGGTAAGAGGACAAGACTAGAAATACAAATTTATACAATGAAAACTAGACATATTTAAAGTAGAAACATACCATGGACCTCGCATCAAATACTTGTGGCTGATGCTCTGTCGCAAAACTTCTTTGTGGAAGAGCTGGCAGGAAAGGAAAACAACCATTGTTGATATAGCTTCTACTGATATTTCATATGTAATATCTCTGAAATGGAAGAAAAACAGAGTAACAATCACTTTGGAAGATCAGGACTCTACTCTTTTCTAAATGAACTGTACATTTAAAAACTCAAATCTAAATATTCAGTATTTTCAGGTAACTGATAAATATTAACATAAAAATTAAGTCTAGCAAAAATATTAAACTCCTTCCCTTTCGTTAGCTGGTGTATTTGGGTTAGTTATCCCTTTATTTCTCTATTTTCCAGTTCCCATCTCCTATTAAATGACAAGCCTATTTGTGTACAATGGAAATAGTTACCAGCAGTGTTCTGCTTTGAAGATCCACTCTAGACCTCTATGTTCATTTCTGTTTAGTGATAATACAGATACTCAGATTGTAAAGCTGAAGAGAAGTTACAGTGTAGGGAAGAAAACAATGCCTTTTCATGTTGATGATCACTTTACAATCAGAACAATAATACACCCTAGATCTTGTGTCTCAAGTGACTACCTTTTTCAAGGCCAACTGTGCATGTTCAGCAAAATTTTAACAGTAAACAAGTTATTCCTGTTTTATTAAGCATATTTTGACTATGAAGGGTTACTCTGTCCTCTCAAGATCATAAACCCCTTTGGGAAACAAGTCTTAGATCAAATAAAAAAATTCAGCTGAACAGAAAGCACACAGAGGAACAAAGGCATCCAGAAATTTCTAGTTACTGCAAAAGTTTAAACAGTATTATAATGGGGTACATGTTAAGACCAAGGAAGTAGAAACTCAACAACACAGCAAAAAGAGCAATAGCACCAAAAGAATACTAAAATATTTTTTATAAAAATGAAATAATTATGAAAAACAAAGAAAAATACTTAACACCTACTTAAACGAAAGCTCATTAAACAAATTAATGATGACTTGATTCTAGAACTGGAAAAATTTAAATTCTACCAGATATCTCAAGGAGTTATTACTGATAGAAATATGTTTAAAAGGCCAGGCTCGGTGACTCACACCTATAATTCCAGCACTTTGGGAGGCCAAAGTGAGCGGATCACCTGAGTTCAGGAGTTTGAGACTAGCCTGGCCAACATGGTGAAATCCCATCTCTACTAAAAATACAAAAAATTAGCCGGGCATGGTGGTGGGAACCTGTAATCCCAGCTACTCGGGAGGCTGAGGCAGGAGAATGGCTTGAACCTGGGAGGCAGAGATTGCAGTGAGCCGAGATCGTGCCATTGCACTCTAGCCTTGGCGATAATAGCGAAACTCCGTCTCAAAAACAAAAAATAAAGAAAGAAAAAGAAATATGTTTAAAAATGACATATAAAAAAAAAACACACAAGAGGCCAGCGCAATTAGCCTTATTACATATTGAATAAAGCTTAGCTCTACTCAGAAATCTGACTTTTAAAGTATTGTAGAACAATCTCTTTCCTGAAATTTCCATAATCACTGTTGTAAAAATTAACCATGTAAAAAGCAATTCTTGGGCACGGTGGCACATGCCTGTAATCCCAGCTACTCAGGAGGCAGAGGCACTAGAATCACTTGAACCTGGAAGGCGTACGTTGCAGTGAGCTGAGATTACACCACTGCATTCCAGCCTGAGCAACAGAGTGAGACTCTTGTCTCAAAAAATAAAAATAAAAAATTTAAAAAATAGGCCGGGCGTGGTGGCTCACGCCTGTAATCCCAGCACTTTGGGAGGCCAAGGCGGGTGGATCACAAGGTCAAGAGATCGAGACCATCCTGGCCAACACAGTGAAACCCCGTCTCTACTAAAAATACAAATATTATCTGGGCGTGGTGGCACGTGCCTGTAATCTCAGCTACTTGGGAGGCTGAGGTAGGAGAATTGCTTGAACCCAGGAGGCAGAGTTGCAGTGAGTCGGGATTGCACCACTGCACTCCAGCCTGGCAACAGAGCAAGACTCTGTCTCAAAAAAAAAAAATTTTTTTTAAATAAAGCAATTATTGTATTTGTTCTTCTTTCATGAATTGAATGAAAGACAAACTTGATGTTTTGTGTCATGTTATAATTTACTAATGAGGATTTGATTTGGGTGCTCAGAACCCCCAAAAATTTCGTATCACAATAATCATTCATTCATAACATAGCCCACACCTGTCTGGAATCCATACTCAATAGTCACCTGGCTAGGCTTTTCACTTGGGTCAGGGTTTAAAGCCAAGTTCTGACGTAACAAATACTTGGCTGTGAGTTACAGCCTATTTAGATAGGCAGATGGATGACTATGTCCAATACATTGGCAACCATATTCTGTCTTTTTTTTTTTTCTTTTTTTCTTTTTGGAGACAGGGTCTTGTCTGTCACCTAGGCTGACACCTAGTGGCGTGATCTTGGCTCACTGCAACCTCCACCTCCCGGGCTCAAGTGATCATCCTGCCTTAGCCTCTCAAGTAGCTGGGACTACAGGTAGATACCACCATGCCTGGCTAATTTTGTCTTTTTTGTAGCGAAGGGGTTTTACCATGTTGCCCAGGCTGATCTGGAACTCCTGTGCTCAAGCAATCTGCCTGCCTGGGGATGCCAAAGTGCTGGGATTACAGGCATAAGCCATCGTGCCAGGCCGCAAATGTATTTTGTCATTGCATCAATGATAAAAAATCAGCTGCAGTGGTTTACAATTTAACATCTTACTCTATGCCCCAGATCTAGAAACAAATTGTTTTACTAAATTGAATTGTTTTAGTTTTGTTTAAACTAAAATCTATGACTATTAATAAATACTAGGTCTAATAACCTTAGGGAAGGAATATGTATTTAGAAAAAAGTGTTGTTCTCCTTCAAAATTAATTGGGCCAAACACAATCAGAAGTGAGAGAACAAAAAAAGTGTTAACCTTGGATCATCCTTTCTTACCATGGAATTGTACAAATGTACAAGAATGAAGAGTAGAGGGTTTGACGCTGGGAGGTAAGGAAAGCTTCCAGCACATAAGAATACTGAAGCAACATGACAATAAGAGTCATGCCAAGCTAAAAACCCATTTCCCCAAATTCCTAAACAGAACCATGTGTGTCTTCCATAGGCCCAGAGAAACAAATTATGTCAAATTGCTTATCACACAGTATTTTTGCTCATATGTTGTTCAACAAATATTTATTAAAAATTTATTCTTACTATGTCTTAGATAGGCATTATGCTACATATTGGGGACATATCCATCAACAAATAGATAAGGCCTTATTGAAGCTTACAATTTAGTGGAAAAATGAAAAATCAAATAATAATCACTCCAAAAAGGACTATAAAGGAAAAGAACAAGTAATAACAAAAGAGGATTACAGGACACTCTGATATTAACCATGGGATCAAAAGAAAGCTTCCCTTAAAAAGTGGCACTTAAAACGTAAAGTATGAGTGGCAATTACTTACAAATCTTTCTTTCTTGCTAGAATATATGAGACTCTAGCTAGAGACTTCATTTTTGCTGTTGTTTATATTCTCAACCCTAGTATATAAGAGGTACTTAATGGATAAATAAATGGAGAGATGGAGGAATCTTTACTGTTTTCCTTTTGACTGGAAACTTATTGAATACCTTCCTTAATAGATCCATCAGCATAGCATACAAGGCATATACAACTTAGAATAGCAAAGAGGAAGAAGAATGCTGAGGTCACGTAATATGTGTTCATAAGCACAAATGGAATACTCATTGCAAAAAAATGTAAAGGGAATTTCATGAAAGAAGGAACCAGAATGTTGTTGACTGGCTTACAGCTGTCCTCTGTTGATTTTGTCTGACCAACATCCACCTCCCCTTCTTCTGGCAAAAGCAGCCCTTTTGTCCTCCTGAGAACCTCCCTCCTCTCCATACATGTGGATCGCAATGGGCATGACTCTGCTTCCTGGTGTTAAGAGGTGATCCACGTTTGGCCAATAAAAATGGTCCTTGTCAAAATCCTTCCCAGCACTTCTGGAACTATCAGAAAAGAGGCACTCTCTCCTTCTGAGATTGTGAGTGCTAAGAACCATGTATGCAAAGAGCTGCCACTGGTCTTCTCTGTCGATGGATCCTGCCTGAGAACGCAGACAATTGAGAGGACAAACACAGCAGTGACAAGAGATTGAGAGGGAAGGAGCAAAAAGGAGAGAAGAGAGGAGTCCTAGTGAAGAGTCGACGGAATAATCAGACATAGAAAAAGAAATTACTATGAAATCCGGCAAATCCCATGAAAGAATATGAACTATCTGTATTAGGAACACAAAGATAACAGCAACCAACTCTGCCTGGGGCAGAAGGGAAATGCTTCACAAAGATGATGATATTTGAGCAGAGGAAGAACAAGACGGCGGTGAAGGGCATTAAAGTGAAGAAACCATGCAAAGGCAGCCACAAAAAGGTCTGGTAGTTTTGAAGGAAAATAAGAAATTCAGTATTGATCAAACAGATTACAAGAAGGTGGGGGCAAGAGGTGGGAGCAAAGGGACTCAAACTGGGAGTTGATAAATTAATAAAATGGAAAAAGTATGTATATATTGGAGAAATGAGATTAAAACAGTTATTAAAAAATCAACAAAGTATTCAAATTAATTTAAAAATTCAACTAGGCCAGATACAAGATCAACTTTGAGAGATAAATAAATAGCATTTCTCCTTAGCAGCACTAACCAACAATAGTAGATTATCAAAAACAAAATAGCATTTTTCAAGACTGCCAGAATAACTAGAATGTTTGGAAATTAAGAAGTCATAGGACCTCTATGAAGAAAACATTTTAAAAGGACACAGTGGATGATCTGAACAGAATGACAATACTATGAAGATAATAATTCTACCTAGATTAATACAGAAAGTCAACAAATCACAACCAAAATCCTCACTGGACTTTTCTGAGGAACCGCATAAATTGACTCACTTTTATGAAATAATAAACAAATAGCCAAGTCAACCTTGACAATAAAGAGTGAAGAGGGGCACTTTCCCTACTGCATATCAAGCCACACTATACAGCTGTAGTAAGAAAAACAGCATGGTATTTGTACAAGAAATAAACAAACCAAAGGACCCCAA